CCACTGCAGTCATTAATAATGGTCCAAAGATGATATGAATCCCTTCTTTGACTGGGCTTTTCTAGTTTCTTCAACTGTCTTTGTGAACGTTAGTTACTACGCTCGATGTTTCCAGATAAGAAGTATCACGTAAGTCCTTACTGGGAAATACCTGCATGTGGCCTCATTTTCAATGAACATACAGATTTTCTTTCTTCTTTTTTTTTCTTTACTTGCTTCAATGTGTTGTGCCGATAATGAGCTCACTACATTTGTGAATTGGTTGCAAAATCCCAAAGAGTCTGCTCATGATAACCCAGATAGCCAACTAGCCTTCAAATGGAAAATTTGAGGGAGATTTTCAGGTGTGCTTTGACAAGAGCTCCAACAGCAGAGTTGTCAGAGGGAAAATGGGGCAGAGTTTCAGGAAGTGAGAAAGCCTTGAATACAACTGTTGTGAAGGGATGTGATGATCTACATTCATCGCGTACACGTCTCAAGCAGAAAACAGGCACACAAATGGGAATGGGATGTTGGGAGAGAGAGAGAGAGAGAAAGAGACAGAGAGACAGAGAGACAGAGAGACAGAGAAGAGGCAGCGTGTTCCAGTGTCATCCTATGAGAAAAGATTCTCTGCCTGAGTTCTTGCAATTAACCATGTCTATCACCAGCTTACCTGTTAATATCTGATTCCTTTTGGAATAACACGGAAAATTTTAGTGCTGCAAAGAAATATTAGAGTCACTCTAGTTCAACACTCTTAACTGACAGATGAAGAAATCGGTCCAGAAAGGGTTCAGTGGCTCGGTAAAAGACGTAGTGAATAGCAGAACTAGATTTGAGGCCCAAGTCACCTGACACCTAATCTAGTGCACTTTGTCTGCTTTGGCACATGTAATCTGTGGCATCACTAGAAAGAACTATTGAGGATTCTTTTTTCTTTTTTAGATACATCTCTTCTGGCAGCAAATCTTTTACTTTCTGAGGCTGAATAACACGGACCTGCATTTCATGTTGGCCAAATCACCAGATTTTTTTATTGTCCAGTCCTTGGGTTAGCTTGATGTTTCTTTCAGTTTGGCTGCACTCATCTGTATGTACCAGCCAATAGGAAACTCTGGACTGATGGAAGGAACACAATATGCACTAAAAGCAGTCTGAAGCCATGGCAACCTAGGTCTGTTGACTTGGCAGCAAACTGAATACCAAACACAAAGTGGCTCTAAAGAAAACTTCACTTGCCATTCATGATCACCCTAGGATCCACAAACTAGATGGAGGTCACCTACCTCTTACTGTGCTGTGCAAATAAAACTATAGCTAAAGACCGTCCCATTACAGAAACTTCTCTGGAGAATGTGACCCAGTGTCAACATAGATAGATCCAGAGAACAAAGAGGGAGCTGCTCCCAAACAGCAAATTCTCCAGTTTATGCATGCTGCAAAGATGCCAATGTCCTTCCCTCGTGTGGGTACTTTTTATGGGAACACGACATTGAGTTCCAATTTTACAAATAGTGTAACATATCTCAAACAAATCACAAAAGCCATACGTACCCTAGCTGAATGCAAGGAAAACTTGCATCATTGGTTATCTGGACAGTGGCAAACTCACCCGAGCACAGAAGCCCTATGTGCAGCAGTGTGTTTATGGAAATACTAACCCTGCCTTAAACAGCCACAAGAGTATAATCGCCTTCACTCACCAATCTCATTTTTGACTGCCAAACCTGCAGTCCCAGAGACCACTGCACAAAATGGGAAATGCGCTAATTTCCCACTTTCTGGGAGAGCTGCCTCGCCCGCTCCCAAGGGCAGGGTAGGCTGACCATTTTGAATGCTGGGTGTCTGTATGTCAGCAAGTACCTATATTCATTTCAGCTTCCTGAAGCATTTATGAACATAGCTTAGTCATATTTCAGCCACAATATGGAAGATAAGACAGCCAGGAGATCTCATAGGTAGGTTGTGAGTAATAAATAATGAAAAAGCACTTTGCAAAATATGAAGTATGATCCTAACGCTCGATAGCATATGATACTTTACTTTACCATTAGCCTACTTCATCACGAGCTGCCTGGAAGGGAGGCAAATGTTAGACATCATCAGCTCAGCCTTCGGTTGTGGATTAGGTCATAAGGAACAAAGTAACTTTGGCTGGAGCTGTTTCATCTGAAATGAAACTAGGGCATTAAATTTTTCCAGAAAGCACCAAGTTTCTGGGGGGTCTCGTGACTCCCATTTACTGCCCCAAAATAAACTTTTTAATAAAGTAAAATCTGGCTTAATATATTCATTTCCTCTGGAAAAGCACCACTAACAATGTATTGATTTTTTTTCTTCATAAAGAAGACAACTTATTACCAGATACTCAATCATAGGATAGTTTAATAAAGAGACAGAACATAGAGTTAGAATTATAGATAAGGGCCCCAACCTAGGACTTCAGTTTCCAATACTGAGGCCCATGAACAAACACCACATTGAGGCTGGTGTATAACAGAGAACTGACACTAAAAGCATGTATACAAAGCTGACATTGTCCAAAAACTAAATAAACAAAAAACAGCACAGTCCAGGAACTTCTGAAAAACAACCTTTCTTGTATATCTCAAAATACAATGTGAGTAAGAAAAGCACACTCCCTCCTTTTAGGAATTTATAATCAAGATGAGATGACAAATGTATATGATATAAAGAAAGGACATGGCCCTCTATAAAACATTACAGGCAACACCTGTCACCATTCTTCTTTCTGTACCTCCACCATTCTACCCCCTACAAAGACAGAAAACATTTCTGCCCTAAACAGCTACTCACTTTAAACTGCATATTTAATGCAAGTCTTTCATAAAGATTTCTGTGTCTTCTTTTAAAATGCAAGCTCTATTACATATTCAAACATGTTCACGTGAAATGCTACGGATGTCTGGAATTTGCTTCCAAACAATCTCATGCAGATAGGAAGAGGGAAGGTGCAGAAACCAAACCCCACTGACCATGGGCTGATAACTGTTGAATATAAATGATAGGCACATGAGGCTTCTTTGTGTTACTTTGCAACCTTCATGCGCTTGAACATTTCCATGAGTTTATCAATTGCAATCCACCTCAGAGAGCAGCCTCAAACGCAGGTTATCGTGGACAGTAAGTGCTTTATCACAGTCATCGTTCTCAGGAGAGCAGGAAATCAAACCAATGCTATACATCGTTCATTGAAAGGCTGACTAGGAGAGAAAGGGTCAGAGGCTCTGGAAGCCTGATTGTCACTAGACTCATCACCATGTGGCCAGGTCTACAGATCATGGATGTAAAGATACTTGATTTGTGAGAATAGACATCAGACCAAGGAGCTCATAAAGGCTTATAAATGCATCTGTACATGAGTGGCACAGGCAATGGTAGTAGCTGTGATATCCTCTATAAAGATTCATATCCCCAGTCATAAAAATGGAAGAAAATCATCACATTCGACTAACACAATACAAATGAGAAACAGCAGCTTGGGCTTTTGAATTAGAGAAAATAAAAGCATGTTCTATAATACCAATGTGTGCCCACAATAGTTTTTAGAAGAAACAAAGTACAAGCATTTGTCCATTTCATGCTTTAGCTCACTCTTCATACTAACTCCGTATCTTGCTAATATTCAGGGACAAACAACCATGAACAAATTTTGGACTGATATCTCCTTCAAAACCCAATCCCATCCATCTTTTTGCTTGCTTTTTTTTTTTTTTCTGCAGAGTTCGAAATGCTAAACATACATTTGTTAGAACATTGGGCAGCTGTTGGTAGTCCCATGCAAACCGTGTTGTCTGGAGATGTGATACCTAGGCCGAAAGGAGGAACCATCAAGCCAACATACAAATGCAGGCAGAGCTGAATGACTCCCCTGTGGCAGAGTTAAGTTACTGTGGTACCAACGAACAGGAAAATCCACAGCCCTACCTTCTGTGAGACTGACAGATGTGTTTAAACTAATGTGCTGTTAAGGTTTTCCCACCAAATACAGTCCTACCTGATTTAGGAAGAGGGTCAACATCTCTCTAAGCATCCAAGAACCCAAAAAGGATATGTATGTGCTGGTGTTTAACAACCAGCTCTCTGGTGGGCAAAAGGGAAAACCCGATCGGCACTGTTCACCTACTTTCTTAAAGTGAACACTCCCACTGTGGCTGAGGTCAAGTTAGCAATGGCTGTCACTAACTATGGGGTTGGGATGGTGCGCAGTCATCTTGTACCAGTTCAAACTAGACCGCTCAGGAAATTTTTTTTTACAAGGTGCCTATAACCCCATAGAGAAATAGTATTGAGGCAGATGTGGTACAGACAGGAGGAAGGAGGGAAATGGGAAGAGCACATATTTTCTAGAGTTGGTAATTGCTTACCAAGCTGGACAACATTAATGTTTCCCCCTCGCGTTCCTCAAGGATCGAGTGTTTTAGAATCTAACATAGCCACAACTTAGGAAGGCATGTGTTTTATACTGTTGGGTTATTCCACATGACTCGAATTTTGTGCTGTAGCTATCATGCAATGCTAATTGCAGGTGTCCCTTTGTTTAACTCTTTTCTGTGTTTATTAGTACATGTTTGCAGTACCTAATGATTACATTCATCGTGGGGGTCGGTAAGTGTACACATCACATCTTAATTCTCTTTACTTCCCCTTCCCAATTTCTCCCTCCCCATTGCTCCATCTTTAGTTCTCCATTCTATTTGTGAAGAGCCTATCTCCTTATTTTGTATTGTCCACCTTTTGTTTTGCTCTTTTCATTATTTATACATAGGGATTCTTATATAAGAGATGCCATGCAATATCTGTGCTTGTGTGTCTAATTTATTTCACTTATGGCCTCAAGGTGCATCTATTTTCTTACCAATGACTCAAAAATGTCCTTTGTGGCCGAATAGTACTCTGTTGTGCATATGTGTTTATGTTTGTGTATGTATCACATATTTTGTCCATTCACCTGTTGGTGGACATATAAGCCACTCCCAAGATTTATGTCCTATGAGAAAAATATGAAATACGTCATGAATTTGTATGTCATTCTTGTGCAAGGACCATGTCAAGCTTCTGTATCATTCCGATTTCAGTACATGTGCTGCCCAAGTAAGTACTTTCTTTAATACATGTTTAAACTTTAAGAATACACATAGCATTTTCACACAAGTTATCTCACTTAGTCCCCCAAATCATCTAGTGATGAGGAAATTATTCTTGTATGTTTTGCAGATTAGGAAATTGAGGCTCCAAAATTAAATAGCTCGCTCGACGTAAGACAACCACGGAATAAATCCGTCATAGGAGCGGAAATATTTGATGACCCTTCCTGCTACAACTTGGCCAATTTGAGGGAGAGCTTCAGACACAAGGTAGGTTTTCCTTTGTAACTACTGGGCCCTGACTTAAAAGAATGGTTAATGTGGTGGCCTCTGATGAAAACAAATGTAGTAGCTTGTTTTGCTTCTTCATGGAAATCATAAGCCCACAGAGACAGCATGTGACAAGTACTATCCATTTTTACAGCTATTCCTTAGACTTCATAGTTTTCAATTTTAAGAATAACAACTCAGATCCCTGGTACTTCAGTTGCACTTACAGAAAATTGCTTGTAAAATGAAAAGGGCAAAAAGAAAATTAGGAGCTTTTAAAAGAGAAAATGGAAACTTCTATAGAGAAGATAATCATTTTCAATAATGCTCATGATTATACCTAAAGAATAGTCTCTGCTTAGCAAATTTTTCATTCTCTGCTCCTACTTCTCCCTGCTAAACTCGAACTTCTCCCTCAGAATTATTAACATGGTCTCAAGGGGGGAAATATGGCTATTATACAGAAACTATGTGGCTAGTATGACTAAATGAAGTATGGCTTATCACTCCCAGTCTCTTTATCACAGGGCACCAGTAAGCGGGGAGTGGAACTTTAGTAAGTATTCACCTTGACGGTGTAACTGCTACCACTTCAATACTTGGAGAAGACTAACCTGCTGAGAAAAGGAAAGTTTTCATGTGATGTGACGAGAGAGAGAGAGAGAGAGAGAGAGAGAGAGAGAGCGAGAGGAGCAAAGGTGAAAAGAGGCAATTCTGAAATGTAATAATACTTTGAGGAAACGCAGTTTTGGGGGTCCTACTAAATGGAAGGTGCTAATAAACAGAGAGGCATTGAAGCCTGAAAGAGGGGAGCTTAGACATTAAGGTGGAAGGTGGGAGGAGTCAATCTAAAGTAAAAGTGATCTGCTCCATAATAACCCAGGCTATTGCATACAGAGAGGCTGAAGAACACTGGGCTTGCATTTGTCATTGAGCAAAGTAGAAAGCTAACTGTCTCGAAATCGCACAGAGGCTCATGGGGAATTGGGAGCAATCCCATGGATATTCTGGACCCCAGAGCCCCTGGGTGGACCCTGCTAAAAGAGTACCAAATTCTCACAAGGATAATCACCATGCACCAGACACCAGGCTGATGGCTGAAGCCATCTCAGAAGCTGCTTGATTGGACGATGCCAAGAGTCCTGTAGCAGCAGTAAAGTCTCAGGTATAGAAATAGTTGCATCTGAGGGCTGGGGATTTAGCTCAGTGGTGTCCCCACCTGCTTTGCAAGCACAATCACCCAGTACAATCCCTGGTACCAAAAAAAAGAAAAGAAAAGAAAGGAAATTGTTGCATCGAGGCAGCTGCTAATATTTTCATTGCCACTAGCTATTCTTTCTTAATTCAAATCGGTTGAATTTCTTTCTACACCAAAAATACTGGGAGGAAAGGGAGGTGGCCTATCAGAATAAAAACTCTTAATATCCTTTTTTCCCTTGGTGGAATCCTAAAGTTTTAGATTTTCTGATGAACTATCCTAATCCTTTTTTTTTTTTTTTGAGTATCCACAACCATAAACTAAATGTATGACTTGCTTTAAGAATTTTAGGTGAAGCACTCTACAGAATAGAATAAGGGGATACTAAGGATTTTAGGCAATACACTGAGTGGAGCGCTTCACTTACAAGTAGTTGGGGAATATATTGCTGAAAACATACCAGTATCCAGTCTTCCACGTTACAGATGGATCCAAATTTGGAGAATATAGCTTTTGAGCTGTTTCCCAAGGGTCAGAAAACTGAAGTTCATAAATTTACTAGTTCAACGGTCAAATGGCCTTGAAGTGCAAATAGGAAAAGTCCTGATGATATTAAAGCGAGGAGGCCATAACCTTTATCACTTGTCTCACAGCCCGAGTTTATTTAAAGCGTTTCTCCTTTACTGTGTGCAGTGTTGAGTTTTACCAGTAGAGGGCACTGAAGGGACACTGAAGGAGGAAGGAGCTCTGCTTTTCTGGCAGCTAGCACTGTGGAATGGGTCAGCAGTGTAAAGATGAGAAAATTTGTGGAAGAACTACGTAGATCAACCACTTTGAATGGGTTCAGATTGTGCAGATATCATACACACAAAACGATGTTTCTTATAGCTTGATCAGTGGGCTAACAGTGGCCATAGTGGCAGGGATGAAGGCTGTGCACTGGCAAAACAGCATGAGTTTCCTCTCATGGTGGCCAACTGGCTACAGCTATATATTGCTCCGTGCCTAACCTGCTTATGGTGGAGATGAACCCCGAGACCTTGGTATGGCACCATTCCACAGGAGGACCAGGGAGCCATCTGATAGTGACGGATTACATTGGACCCCTTTCACCATGAAGGGAGCAAGTACTTGTCTTCCCTAAAATACAGTGGACCCTCAAATTACAACTGGCCTAACATACACACAACTCGGGTTAATTAAGCTAGTGGAAGATTTCTCTGCTTCTTGTTGTCTATAGCATGTACCCAGATGAACGTCCAGATCTCAGCTGTATTGAGTTATGACCAGCCCTGGGGAACTGATCAAGTTCATAAGTCACGGGTCCACTGTATATGGATTTGAACATATAGCTATGGGTTTATCTTCTCCTATAGGTAATGATTCCCCCAGCATCAATGTCCATGGATTCTCAGGATGCCTAATCTGTTATCCCAGCTTTCCACACAGCCTTGCATCTTATCAGGGAACTCATCTCACAACAAAGGTAGTACAGCAGTAGCCTCATAGCTGTGAATATAACTGGACTTATGACATACCCCATTATACAGAAACAGCTGGTCCAATGGAACAGTGGAATAGTTTATTGAAGAATGTTTGAAGAAAACGCTCTAATTGGATTGGGATTCAGCCTCACAGGGTATAGTTTATATAGAGACGATAATGTGGCACTCTTTCCCTCTTCCCAGAATACATGGGTTTAAAAAACAATCAAAGGATAGAGATAACACCTCACTTCCTAAACTTTTCATTCCAGGAATTTGAACTCTGCTGGATTGCAGATATTTGTTTCCAAAATGATAAGGCTTCCACTAGGAGCCACAACCGTGGCTTTACTGAACTGGAGGGTGAGTGCTACCTGGGCACTTTGGTGGAACTAGCGTAAGGAGGGGTTAATTTGCTAACTGGAGTGACTGTTCCCAATTACCAAAGAGAAGTCGGGCTGCTGATACACATTAGAGCCATGGAAAACTGTGGAACAAACAAACAAACAAAAAACCAATCTAGGCTACAGTTAAGAGGGAGTTTGAGGGAACCACTGCAAGAGGGAGAACTTTCTAACCATAAGATCTGCAAGCATTCCAAAAATCCAGTGGAAAGATGTTGGGTTTTTTTTTAATTAATTTGAAAGGAGGAGTAAGCCTAGAAGGGACCAGATGTGGCGCAGTGGGTGAAGCATGTGGCATAAGTGGACAGTTGATCAAGGACATCTTCTTTTGCAGTTAGCTGGTTTTCTGAAAGGGTCATTAGGGAGGGTCTGTTCTGCATTGTGATGTTTACTCAGTCTGATATTTGCCCAAAGTCCAGGGAGGGGAGAAACCAGCTAAAGTTTGATCAGGTCAAGTTTATTGGCATTTTGTCCACATTGGCCAGTGGGTACCGACAGTGCAGCTTAGTTTAAAACTATGTGACAAAGAATAGGATTATGGAGAGTCTGTGTCTGGTTTTGCCATAGGTAAACAAGGGGGTCATGCACAAGTCATGTAGGGAAGCTTGAGCTTTTGGAATAAGTCATTTCTTTGAACGCAAAAGTATGGGAAGATTTCTTAGCCATTGCTGTCTTCTAGTGACATGAGGCTCCAGTGAACTTCAACATTGTCATCCGGAGCCTAGGAGAATTCTTATAATTCTGGAGACTGTAAGTTTGAAATGGCTCTTCTCTAAAATCAAAGTGTCAATTTCCTTACTGTTCCTTCTTGGCAGGCTAGGAGAGAGCTCATTTCCTTACTATTTCCAGCTTCTAGAGGTCACCCTTATTCCTTGGCTTATGCCCGCTGTTGCTCCATTTGCAAATCTAGCAATGTCGGGCTATGATTTCATCTCCCTGGTTCTTTCTATTTTAAGGACCTTCATAATTTTTGTACATTTGGCTCATTCAGATTACACAGGATGATCTCCCCTTTTAAGGGAGGTGACTAGCAGCCTTAATTTCTCCTTGCCATTCAACCTAACATATCCCAAATTTTAAAAAGTAGAATGTGGACGTATTTGAGGAATTTATTACTCTGCTGAACTCATTCAACATATCATGTCTGTTGAGATTGAGATAGGTTTCCCTCATTAAAGACAGAACATGCCTTTGGAGGAGTGCTTGAGTGTGTTTATCCTGGTTGGATAATGGGTGGGTGTTTTGTAAATTTCCTGAGAAAATGTAAAAGAAGAGCCTGTGTTCAGATTGCGCCAGCACTGACAGACCAAAGAATGACTCGCGTTGGCCAGCCTATAGGTAGCAGCACCACCATTCGTCACCCTTTGTTTACCACACTCCTATTGATGTAAGACTTTAAGTCACACAGCAAAAAGCAGTAGCAAACACAGAACCCACATGAAGAATCATGTGCTCATGTGTATTCTGTCTCCATCCTTCTTGGGAATTCACTAGTCTCAGCAAACAGCAATGGATAGCTCTGCCTCGCCACAGTCTGGCACCTGGTGAGGAACCACAGGGCAACTAAATGTCAGTGCACTACAAGATGGTGTTATTTTGACTAGGGCCTGGAGGACTGCTCTCCCCACAGTGGGGATCTGGAAGTAGGAGTTCGCTGCT